TGTTGTCCGCTAGCACATCCCTGTCAGCAGGTATGTGACATAACCTTAGAGGTGTAACTCGGTGTCCCTGATCAGTTTGCCCAAGGGTGTTAGAGTCAGTGTTAGAGTGTGCTTATAGTCGAAAACTTATGTCTTGCCGGATTTGATTGTCTCCCGGTCTCCCGCTTTGGCTGCACCGCCGTTCCGGTTGACGTCTCAGCGACAAGTCGACTTTGATGTCCGATTGAATTGTGTTACCTAGCTATTCTTTCCCTTATCTAAGTTTGGTGCGATCAGCGGAGCCGTTCAGTCCCCTCTGTCGGATGGATCCACCTCTCGCTCTCCCCTATTTCCTTAATTTGGAACGATTTTCCCGATCCTTGCTACCGTACGCCTGGGTGCCGAGATAATCCTGCCCGCTTTCTCGGTAGTAGGTGGGTATACTCTGCTCCACTACTGATCCCGACTAATTACCCTGCCGTCTAACCCTTTACCCTCTGTTCCCGTTGCTCGACTACCAGATGTAGCACGAATGAGTTTTGTTTTCGAGTTACTGACAGTTTGAGGACCGGGATGCCTATTTTGTTTGGGTTCTTCACGATGCTTCCCCACCTCCCAGCTTCCTAGGAATGGAAAATTTACCAGCGTTTTCCTCTTGGTGAAAATAATAATTTTTAAAAGTTTTATCGGGAAGTTACTACGGAGTGGATTGCCCCCTCTTGATACTCCGATTTCCTTCCTGGCTACTTCCAATTTGTACCGCGGGCAACCTGCTCCACCTGTCCGACACTCAACCCGGGCTATTTCAGACACTCCCGGATATGGCGGCGCTTGAGATGAATTTCCGCCGCACCAGACTTCCCTGAGCTAAACTTTTGCCACTCCTATCCTGACCAGGCTCTGAAGTGTCCGGGTTTGGCGGCCCGAGACTGAATATCGCCGCGGTAAGTTTTCACCGAGGTAACTTCCACCATGCCCGACCTATCCCGGGTTTGAACTCCCGGGTATGGCGGCCTGTTTCGGCTTTCCCCCGAGTTAAGTTTTCACCGTGACCTATTTTACCGTGCCAGGTTTAACCCGTAGCTCCGAGTTAAATTCTTACTGAGAACTTCCGGATATGGCGGCTTTAGACCTATTCTTCCCCTGTATTGGCCCTTCTTGGTACTCTGGTTTCCCTCCTAGCTACCTCCATTTTGTACCTCGGACGAACTGTTCCCTCCTATTTTGATATGGATAACTTTCTCCATGCCTGATCTAACCCGAGTCTGAACTTCCGGGTATGTCGGCCTGTTCCAATTTTTCCCCTTCTTCACCGTGACCTATTTCACCACGCCTGGTCTAGCTCGTATTACCGAGTTAAATTTTCACTGAGACCTTCCGGATATGGCGGCTCCAGATCTATTTTCCCCCTGTATTGTTGCCGGATCCAGGACTACATGGCTACCCTAGCAGCGATTCTCGTTACTCTTTTTACACCACCTCATTCGTACCGTGGTAATACTTAGGAGCAGCGAAAGTTACCATTGTTTCTTCCATATCTCCCTTATCGCTAAGCCTAACCTGAAAACCAGGGTGACAACACCTGCACTGCGGGCATAGCCCCACTCTCGATGAGAGAGAGAGCCCCGGGTGTTCCCCGTGCCTCGTCGTGCGACGAGGTAAACGGCCCGGTAGCACCAGGCGCGCTAATCACGTGAGGTGACGTCGTTAGCGGAGCGCTACGCTAGTAGCCCGGTAACGCCGCTCCCGCCATAACGCGCACTTTGCTCATCCCAAGTTATTTTTTGTTTGTTTTTAAAAAAGGGAAGAAAAATCTGGCTTCGAAAAATCTGTTTGCTACCGGTAGTTATCAAAAGTTCCAAAAAAAAGGTTCCCAAAAAAAGTTCCAAGCCCCAACCCTATACCCTAAAACATTAGGGGCAAGGGGCAACATGAAATCTCCCCTTCACAGTGAGAGGAAACTATGCTTGCAGGGGTCCCCTCTAGATAGCCTTAGGAGTAGGTAGTGAAAGGCAAAAACAGAAGTTGAGAGAAGAATATAGAGAAAAAATAAAAAATAAAAAAAATTCGCCCCATGGGCTGGGTACGTCCCAGGTTTTGCGCGAACCGGACAGTGGCTGTAGTTTTGCGCGCGCGAAAGTCGCAGCAGCAAAAAAAAAAAAAAAAAAAAAAAGGTCGCAGCAGCGTGAGGGGGCCCTGAGCTTGGGACCAGCCTGGCACCGGTGACGTAAACGGGGATATCCCTTCCTCGCCGTTTTCGGAGTTAGGGGAAGGCCAGGGTGCTATGTTCACGCTGTGTAGCATGAACGTGGCCGTAATAAAAGGGAGATTCGTACTTTCCTGGGATGAACCTAGCACCGGTGGGGCCTGACCCTTGCTGCGGAGTCCTGTTGCCATTCCATGCACAAGAGGCAAGGGCAGGCTCGCCAACTCCATCACAGGGCAGGCGAAGGGCAGGCGAAGGGCAGGCTCTCCGCTCAGTGGGAGAGGGAGGGTAGAATTTCCGCCAGCACCACGGGTCTTGGGCGCGCAATCTCCTGCGAAGGGCGAGCTTCCCGCTCACAAGAGAGCCCGGGGAGGTAGAGCGCGAGCGTGAGAGAGAGCGGGAGGAGGTTCATGGGTATGCCGCAGTAGATAGCGGAGCGATCCGCCTTCGACGAGAGGTTCTTCCGTACATACAACACGAGTCCAGTCGCTCCAAAGATAATAATAATTCATCACTCTGCTCCTGTGTCTGCGCGCGCGCCCACCCACTCTCAGATGGTACTCGCCGGTGATTAGCAAGCGCTATTGTACTATTGATTCCTCTGTGTGTTGTTCCCTGTGTTCTTCCTCCGCTGACGTCTACAGTGACGCGTGCTGACTGAGCGACCAGAGATTCTTCAGATACTATTGGAAGAGTTCTCTCTCTCGCTCTCCCTCTCTCGACGTGTGCTGGTCGCCATTGTCTCTATCCGTGTCTGCTCAACATCGTTCTCTCTCTCTCTCTCTCTCTCTCTCTCGCTCGCTCGCTCGCTTCCACAGTGAGAGCAGCCGCCGGATCGAGTTGATCGGACGGTCAGCAAACAGTGGGGGCCGAGAGATTGCAAGGACAGGATGTCGTCGCCAAGCAAACGGAGAGAGATGGACGTCATGAAGCTGTGAGTGAAAGAGGTGATAAATAAGGTGGGGGGAGGGTAGGATAGGGGAAGGTGAGGGTGGAGGGAGGGGAGGGGAGGGGGAAGATGTTGAGTTTAAGATACGGTGTTGTTGTCGGGATTCCAGATTGGTGGTTGGCAGATTGAGGTCCGGATCGAGTCCCGGGGTCCGTGCTTTGTTTTGGAGCACAGTAGATAAGGTGTGGACTGGGGGTTCAGTCTGAAGGAGGGTGTCCGTTGGACGTCGGTGGTTGGGGCTGGTTGGAAGATTTTTGTTTTTTTTTGCATCGAATGTGGGTGCCAGTTGTGGTGGGAAACGGGGGGAAAGAGGAGGAGGTGGCAGTGCTAATTTTGATGTGTGCGGGGCTGCGTATGTTGGGCGGGGTGTGTTTGTGTGTGTGCGTGCGTTCGGGAGGCTGTATAATATGTGTCTGTGCTCGTCTGTGCTCGTCCGTGTGTGTGCGTGTGTGTGTGTGTGTGTGTGTGTGTGTGTGTGTGTG